TTTTAATTATTATTTAAACATATTAAAAAGTTTTACGCTCATTATTAATAAAGACTGAAACTAAATATTTTTTTGTTTCGAAGTTGAAATCAAGGAATATTCACTGCCAAAAGTCAGTTAAAAATTTTCCATATTATTCGTTATTTCTTATTTTATTCAAAGTTTTTGGTCAAATTCCAAAATTTCTCTCAAACCGTATACTTTTTTTTAGTATAGATAGTATTTATTTACCCCATGATATGCTGCAAAATCTAATTAATCACGAATTTCTAATTTTATGTACTCTTGTCTCCGACTGTACCTCCCAAACATCCTTAAACAGAATGAATGGGACTGTCGAGAATATAGGATTTACCTCACACTTTATTCAATATTTCTGCAAACATTTTGTAATCAAATCACTTCTGAGCGCCAGCAATGAAAAATGTCTAAAACGAAGAACCCAGAAATGCTTTACTCGAACTTTTTGTAATCACAATTGTAAAAATATCTATTGAATCCGTACAGATAGAATTTTATAAATAGTACTACAAAATGTTATAGATAAAAAACGAAAAACATCGAAAAAACGCTCTTAATGAATTAATTAAAACAAAGTTCTTCACACTTGTAGGCGTGATATACGTGTTTTTTTACTAATTTCCATGCAAAAATCAGGTCTATTCCAAACTTTTCCACCCAAAAGTCAAATATGTCTGGACTATATGCAGTGGTGTTGTGCTAATTTTTTTTTTACCGGACAGGGTCGATCCTGGGTAGGCGGCCGCTCTGTGCGGTCTCATGTCCCAAATTTGACCGGGGGGGAGGGTATTCTCCCAATTTTCGCCCGTCGCCAGGATCGGCCCTGTATATAGCATAAAAAGGAAAGGAAACGAAAATCATTACGAACCCAATCTTGTGTATATATATATATTCTACATCTTCAGAAAAATCGGTACGTTTGTCGGCATTTTTCTTAGCATCACTGTAATAAACTAATAAAGTTAAAAACATCTACCAATACCGGAAACCAACATCTGGAAATTCTAGTTCACAACAAATGTATAATAAAAATTCTTAGCATTAGCTGCAGGCCCATTGGGGTATAGCAATAAACTATGCCAAGGATGAGTAACGTACGGTCCGTGAGCCGCTTGTATTAAAATTTATGTATGAAATCTTTACTTTTTTAAAATTTCATATTTTTTTCTTCTAATGTTTATTATAAATAAAGTTTAATTCCCGTTGAACCGGTTCAAAAACCGGTTCACGTATTTGTTTCGGNTAGTGATAATTATAGTTACCTTGTAGCCAAAATGGGAAAAAGAGACACACAAATTAAGTTCCTTTTCTTTTATGCCTTTAACACGCTTTAATAACTTCAATTTGTATTCTGTGGTATCATTTGAATGTTGAATTGAATATTCAGAACTTCCAAATTCATCAGGTTTTGGAAGCAAATAATTCGAAGAATTGGACGACTCTAAAACAGCCTTATGACTTATACTGGGGCCCGGAACTTCTTCGAAATCGTTCATTTTTACTGGAATGTCTAAATGAGGAAAAAACGTGGAAGGTTTCCATAAATAATGATTATTTCTTTGGTGCAAATGAAGTTTAGATTTCTGAAAAAAGTCATATTTTTAAATACAAAACAACAATTTTTCATATCTATCTACTTTATATTTTTCTGCAGATTTTGGAATGCGACCAGGTATAGGAAGTCCCGCTTTGTATAATTTGAGAAAATATTTTTGTACCCTACTTGTTACTTGTTTAACAGTACGATTTCCTAAAATTATAACAAACAGAAAAACGTTAACGAGTGCCTATATTCAAATATTTCTTTTACCTAGAGCTGCAGCTATTTTTTTAAATCTTCGCAATTCCACGCTTTCAGGAGGATATATTTCTAAAAGTTCCTCTAAACGTTTCTGTTCTTCTGTGGTCCAAGGCTGTAAATGAAATGAAGTTATTTTTCTTTATTGCATCAAAGGATACTATCAAAGTGTGAAGTTATCTGGATTGAACTACACATTAAATTAATTCTAGTTGCATAGGATAATGGGAACATGGCTTAAATAGGATCTAAAGTTTAATGAGAACCTAAGTGGTGACGACTTTTTTAATCGAATTTGGATAGATCTTCATATGAGATGTTAAAGGACATAAAGCAATCTTTAGATCTTATACAATATGTTCCACTTGAATTTGTAGGGCAGCCATCATCGTTACGGTGTGTAATCCAAAGTTTGAGCATATTCATTTAATGTATTATGTTTAAATCACACAGAACATTTGCCATTCCCCATTTCCTTTTTACAGGCCAACCGGGGTAGTTTCCATCATTACTTTTATTATTACACATTATGCTAATTACCACAAGGTACAGGATATTTTATGTTGTATTAGACTAAATTAATAATTTCATATACATATATGAAAGACACATCTTGTTTTAGACAATTTAAGAAATTTTTTAAAAAGGAGTGGAGTTAGAAATGGAAAAGTTAAATGAGTGCCTCCTTATAATAAAATTTACAATCTAAAAACACATTTACATTTTAAATGCTGTGGTTAATGCTCTCAGCACCTTAAAGATTTGGGTGAATCCCTCTGTGTATAATTAAAAATAACACAGTTGTCACATTAATTACCTTTTTATGAGTATCTGATGACTTTCTACTTTTATAAATATTATCTTCAGATTTCAAGTTCCCTTTAGAATTATCCTTGCTATTTAAACATTTCAGTGCAGCTTCTGGTATTTGAACATCAAACTTACTCCAGTCAATAACTGGAACCTTAAAAAGAAATTTTATCTTAGTTGCCACTGCAATTAAAATGTGATTGTACTTCTTACTTCTACTATTCTTTGAAAAGGGGGTATTCCAACGTCTTCTTTATTTTTTATTTTCTCAATAAAAGGCAATGGGTCGCTTAGCGCTTGTTTTTGAATTTCTACAACTTTCTCATAATCCTAAAGAATTACAATGCATTATTACACTGAAATGAAATGAAAAAATTATTACTTTTATAGCTCTTTCCCTTTGTGCTTCCAATACAAAAAGTGTTTTTAAAATTTCGCTGTAATCTTTATTTCCCTTGATGGCCAAATGATCCGATTCAAAATAGAATAAATCTTCTTCTTCCTCCCCCTCTTCTGGTGGTGAAGAATTTTTTGGAGACACATTCGGATCGGAATCATTACTATTCATACCAATCTTTTAAATTCGTTTCCCGCGGTTTATTGCCGATTCACGACATCTACTGAGCTTCTTATTAATGACACAAACCATGGATAAATAGTTGTTTATCTATAAATATCTGCCAAAGTATCACTTAATCCAATAATTCAAAAACGTCCCAGTCAGAAATAATTGTTTAATGCAGCATTAAGTTAAATATAACAATAATTTACCCTAAAAAACACTAATAATAACACGTGAAATTGACAACACTTGACATAACCTTAAAGAAGTGTCCATATAAATACGTTTTACGTTGTAGTGAGTGCGTTTTCATTAAAACCACACAGTTTAAAACTTACTGTTGAATGCTTCCTTTTGATTTTTGTATAATTTATCAATAACAAATTGTTTTATCACTTCCAAAAGGTTGTAAAATTAACGACTTTTTATTAACTGTGAGTTTGCCGCTCCATAGTGAATGGCGGGATGTCATACGTTTTAAAATTGTGTAAAATTTAAAAATTCTAAGAAAACATAAAAAATGGTGTTAATAAAATCTTCGTGGTGTACATTTAAGAAAGTCCTAGAAACACGTCAAAATATTTGTAAACCAGCTTGTAACAGTGCAGTCTTTAAACTTAAACAAAGGAATTTCCACTGTAGTGTCTGTAATAAAGAAGAAGCAAATAAAAAATCAGAAGAAACACCTTTAAAGACTCTTTTAGAAGATGCGGCTTCATTTGGTGACGTTCAAAGGAATAATGTTGAACAGCAATGGGCAACACTTCCTTATTTACAAGGTACAAAGATACGAAAGCAAGGAGAATATTTTCACAAACCAAAAGTTGATCCTAGAAATACATCAGTAATTTTGTTTCCTGGGCAAGGTAGTCAGTTTGTTGGGATGGCAAAAGACCTGTTAAAATTTCCAATGGCAAGAGATCTGTTTGAGTTAGCAAACTATATATTGAAATATGATTTGCTTAAATTGTGTTTAGAGGGCCCCAAATCTAAACTAGATGAAACTAGATACTGCCAACCTGCTGTTATGGTTACTTCTTTAGCAACGCTAGAACGTTTAAAAGAAGAAAGACCAAATGCAATTGAAAATTGTGTTGCAACTGCAGGATTTAGTCTGGGAGAAATTACAGCTCTAGTATTTGCAGGGGCATTAGGTTTTGAAAGGGGTAAGTACTTACAGATACATATTTGTTTTTTAAATTAGCATAAAGCAATAATATGCACATAATTGTTAGTGTCTTTATTTTGCATTACTTATTTCTTAAATTTCTATGTATCACATTACTGTTTGAGGATACAGGTACAATTATAAATGCATATTCTCCATCTGCCTTACTTAGATTTTCTACAATATTAGTTTTATTTTGTTTAATCAGTATTTCTAATTAGTCTTAGTTCTTCGTTTATTTTTCCTGTTGCAATGTTTCTTTCAGTTATACTACTTATTTGTCGAATAAAGTACCTGTGCTTTCTTGCATGCACCTTTTCTGTTTTGTCCATGGTTTAGTTTATGCCAAAAATTTGTACTTGTTTTTAGTTTCTTTCAGCTGATTTTGTTCATATCTCATCCTTTTTCTTTTTGTTTTATTTTGTTTCTGTATTTTCTTTTTGCATTTAAAAAGTCATTCTATCTTTTTTCTTGTTGGCTACAATTCTTTTTTCTTTGTATATTGACACTCTTCATCCCACCAATCATTTCTTTTTTCTCTTGTTCATACATTAATCTTCTGTTTAGGGAGTGCATTACCTTAAATTTTAATTTTTTCAATGTTCTTGCCTTTTCTGCCTTTATGCAATAATATATTGATCAATTAATTTTTCATAGTGGATAGAATGTTTCTTGATTTACTATCTCAAAAAGTGATTCATTTCAGCTCTTCAGTTGGTCAAAATCAGGGCAGAAGCAATGCATTTAGCAAGTGAGGCTTATAAAGGGGGCATGGCCACAGTTTTCTATACCCCTGAAAGTAATTTAGGCAAAGCTGTCATAAAAGCTAAGGAATGGGCTCTTGAACGAGGGGCTGAGAATCCAGAATGTTGTGTCGCTAACTACCTTTATCCACACTGCAAGGTCGTTTCAGGTAGTTTAGAGGTATGCAATTCAATACCTATCAACTGAAGGTTTTTTTTCTTATTTTCACTTGTTTTTTTTTATGCAGGCATTAGATTATTTAGAAAAAAACTTAATGGAATACAAACTCAAAAAAATTAAGAGATTACCAGTTAGTGGAGCTTTCCACAGTAGTTTAATGGAACCAGCCGTTGGGCCTTTTTTGAAAGCTTTAAAAAAGACTGAAGTTTCTGATCCTGTAATATCAGTGTTTTCGAATGTAGATGGAAAAAAGTACAGGGATGCTAATCATATAAGAAGACAACTTCCAAAACAGGTAGGAATATCACTACAATTTTAAGTAAATGTTTAGTTAATTATTTTGTTATCAGATTGTGAAACCTGTGAGATGGGAGCAACTTTTACACGTAATATATGAAAGAGACCAAGATGAATATTTTCCAAAGACTTTTGAGTGTGGTCCAGGTTCCTCATTGAAAGCAATTCTTAAGCAAGTAAATGGAAAGGCCTGGAATCACTGTATTACAATAAATTAATAAATTTTCATGGTGTGTAATAAGCTAATATCAGTTAGTGGTATGTACATAAATGTTAAGAATACAAGTTTTTAAACCTTATTAAGTTTCTTCTTTTGATAGAAAACATTGTAACAGAACTGATTTATGTATAAAAAGATTTATTAAACGTGTATGTTTGAACTGCGACTTTGTACAGGTGTGAAACGTGGACGGTGAGCGTGGCGAAAAAAGTTATATGCGGTTTAGATAGGGTGCAATGGGCGGATGATGAAAATACTGTGGATATAACTAAATATAAAGTAAAAAAATTGCCCCCAGGGTACGATAAAAAGACATTTTTATAATTATTCTTGCCCAATATTCATAAGTCCTTATATTGGGTACAATTGAAAAATAATTACCCACAAACAACTGATTAAAACATAATTACCTAAATAGGTAGTTTTTTGTGAATTTTAATATCACACTTTAATTGACTGGACTGTGAATATGTACAAATATCTATTAACTATTTTTATTTTATTCTATTACCCACTTTTAATGAAAAAATCTTACGTAAGGTTTTTTTGATCATTTATACAGCCCTTCTCAAAAAACTAATAAAAATCTGTACTACCTCAACCATCTCAACAGGTGTATAAAAATAAGCTGCATAATAATCTTATTAGGTATTTAACATCTCCATTATTTTTAGGTACCAATTTGGATTGTTGCTTTAGTATTTGCTACCGCAATATTTTTAGCAGTTGTGCCAATAGTTACAGACCCTACACCTAAATATCTGTTTGCCATATCATTTATGCTTGTTGGAGTTATTGTTTACTATTGGTTTGTTTATAAAAAAAGGAGGCCTAAGATAATGAGTAACTTTCACCTTTTTACTACCGTTAACACAAAAAATGGTACTTATACTAGTTTTTTTTTAGATAAGATTTCTTACCTCATCCAAGTTTTATTCGAAGTCGTACCTCCACAGAATACTAAGCAAATGCAATAGTAATAACTGTTATTAACAAAACAACACAACAAACAACAATTAATATCATTTACAATAATTTGGGTAACATTCTCGATTAAAAATAAACGTTATTCCTTACGAAATTATCCCTGTATAAATAAAAGGAACATAAAGCTCCATCTGCAGGAAACAATCCAAACAGTACTAAACAGCTGGAAAGCGAAAAATCTGAAAATTAGAATTCTAATGAGTAAATAAATATACCTATTTTTGAAAACCAATATATACACAAATTTTTATAACTGTTAACGTGTTTGTAACAGATAAATTGTAATATTCTTTATTTTGTAATGTGTGCAAATGAATGTGTATTTTTTATTAATCAAATACATTTTTGTAAAAATTAAATAAAAAGGGGGGGAGGGTATTCTCCCAATTTTCGCCCGTCGCCAGGATCGGCCCTGTATATAGCATAAAAAGGAAAGGAAACGAAAATCATTACGAACCCAATCTTGTGTATATATATATATTCTACATCTTCAGAAAAATCGGTACGTTTGTCGGCATTTTTCTTAGCATCACTGTAATAAACTAATAAAGTTAAAAACATCTACCAATACCGGAAACCAACATCTGGAAATTCTAGTTCACAACAAATGTATAATAAAAATTCTTAGCATTAGCTGCAGGCCCATTGGGGTATAGCAATAAACTATGCCAAGGATGAGTAACGTACGGTCCGTGAGCCGCTTGTATTAAAATTTATGTATGAAATCTTTACTTTTNTTAACTGGAAAAGTTATAAAAAAAAAAATAAATAAAAAAAGGTAACTACTAACATTGGAAAATAAAAAAAAGAACCGATTGATGCATGTCTACTTTCACACCAAACAAAAAAAAATTAAAACTAAAAGAATCAATATTTACTTTATTGTGTAAATCCCTTGCAAAATTGCATAAAGAAAATAAAATAATAAAATGTAAATTAGTTATTACTGTCGAATTCCAAATTTGATCGTAAATATTCATACGAAACACTTTGTGTATCGGTAAAAGATTGTGAGTCACTTGTGTCGTTACTTTCCATGGAATTATTAGTAAATCCAGTACTAAAACTCATAATCTTTGATTTTTCCCCAAAATTATTTTTTGCGCTCATTTTGGAATTCGCCAGCGCTTTATTAAAATAATTTTCATGCGAATTTTGATTATCGGACAGTCCTTCTTTACCGTTTATAGTCACTTCACCTTCATGGACACTAGCGCTATCACTGTCCGAATCAGACGAAGATTCACTTTTATCAGAGTCCGAAGTCCTATAATCGTTATTATTATTACATAAAGCGTTTGTGTTTGAATTATTGAAACTCATATTTTCATGGGAAAGTTCACCAAAATCGGGCTCTAGTCGATGAGTAAATGAATGGGGTTGATCTGAATACATTTGGGCGACCACACAATCAGTACAAAAATCCACGGATTCATGAACGCAAGTTATACAATGCCATCTTGTTCCCTTGATAGGTTCCTCGTTACAAAAATCACACTGCAAAATTAGTTAAAATATAAATAGTAATTGATTATTTATAAATCATTAAAGTGGAGTCAAGGGGAAGATTGCTGATTGGTATTTGGTATTGATGTGGGAGAGAATCAGAAATGATTACATACATACACATATATTTTGAAAATCAATACATTTTAAATTCAAGTAAGGTTTTTAAATTTTAGAAATTAGTGATAATTATAGTTACCTTGTAGCCAAAATGGGAAAAAGAGACACACAAATTAAGTTCCTTTTCTTTTATGCCTTTAACACGCTTTAATAACTTCAATTTGTATTCTGTGGTATCATTTGAATGTTGAATTGAATATTCAGAACTTCCAAATTCATCAGGTTTTGGAAGCAAATAATTCGAAGAATTGGACGACTCTAAAACAGCCTTATGACTTATACTGGGGCCCGGAACTTCTTCGAAATCGTTCATTTTTACTGGAATGTCTAAATGAGGAAAAAACGTGGAAGGTTTCCATAAATAATGATTATTTCTTTGGTGCAAATGAAGTTTAGATTTCTGAAAAAAGTCATATTTTTAAATACAAAACAACAATTTTTCATATCTATCTACTTTATATTTTTCTGCAGATTTTGGAATGCGACCAGGTATAGGAAGTCCCGCTTTGTATAATTTGAGAAAATATTTTTGTACCCTACTTGTTACTTGTTTAACAGTACGATTTCCTAAAATTATAACAAACAGAAAAACGTTAACGAGTGCCTATATTCAAATATTTCTTTTACCTAGAGCTGCAGCTATTTTTTTAAATCTTCGCAATTCCACGCTTTCAGGAGGATATATTTCTAAAAGTTCCTCTAAACGTTTCTGTTCTTCTGTGGTCCAAGGCTGTAAATGAAATGAAGTTATTTTTCTTTATTGCATCAAAGGATACTATCAAAGTGTGAAGTTATCTGGATTGAACTACACATTAAATTAATTCTAGTTGCATAGGATAATGGGAACATGGCTTAAATAGGATCTAAAGTTTAATGAGAACCTAAGTGGTGACGACTTTTTTAATCGAATTTGGATAGATCTTCATATGAGATGTTAAAGGACATAAAGCAATCTTTAGATCTTATACAATATGTTCCACTTGAATTTGTAGGGCAGCCATCATCGTTACGGTGTGTAATCCAAAGTTTGAGCATATTCATTTAATGTATTATGTTTAAATCACACAGAACATTTGCCATTCCCCATTTCCTTTTTACAGGCCAACCGGGGTAGTTTCCATCATTACTTTTATTATTACACATTATGCTAATTACCACAAGGTACAGGATATTTTATGTTGTATTAGACTAAATTAATAATTTCATATACATATATGAAAGACACATCTTGTTTTAGACAATTTAAGAAATTTTTTAAAAAGGAGTGGAGTTAGAAATGGAAAAGTTAAATGAGTGCCTCCTTATAATAAAATTTACAATCTAAAAACACATTTACATTTTAAATGCTGTGGTTAATGCTCTCAGCACCTTAAAGATTTGGGTGAATCCCTCTGTGTATAATTAAAAATAACACAGTTGTCACATTAATTACCTTTTTATGAGTATCTGATGACTTTCTACTTTTATAAATATTATCTTCAGATTTCAAGTTCCCTTTAGAATTATCCTTGCTATTTAAACATTTCAGTGCAGCTTCTGGTATTTGAACATCAAACTTACTCCAGTCAATAACTGGAACCTTAAAAAGAAATTTTATCTTAGTTGCCACTGCAATTAAAATGTGATTGTACTTCTTACTTCTACTATTCTTTGAAAAGGGGGTATTCCAACGTCTTCTTTATTTTTTATTTTCTCAATAAAAGGCAATGGGTCGCTTAGCGCTTGTTTTTGAATTTCTACAACTTTCTCATAATCCTAAAGAATTACAATGCATTATTACACTGAAATGAAATGAAAAAATTATTACTTTTATAGCTCTTTCCCTTTGTGCTTCCAATACAAAAAGTGTTTTTAAAATTTCGCTGTAATCTTTATTTCCCTTGATGGCCAAATGATCCGATTCAAAATAGAATAAATCTTCTTCTTCCTCCCCCTCTTCTGGTGGTGAAGAATTTTTTGGAGACACATTCGGATCGGAATCATTACTATTCATACCAATCTTTTAAATTCGTTTCCCGCGGTTTATTGCCGATTCACGACATCTACTGAGCTTCTTATTAATGACACAAACCATGGATAAATAGTTGTTTATCTATAAATATCTGCCAAAGTATCACTTAATCCAATAATTCAAAAACGTCCCAGTCAGAAATAATTGTTTAATGCAGCATTAAGTTAAATATAACAATAATTTACCCTAAAAAACACTAATAATAACACGTGAAATTGACAACACTTGACATAACCTTAAAGAAGTGTCCATATAAATACGTTTTACGTTGTAGTGAGTGCGTTTTCATTAAAACCACACAGTTTAAAACTTACTGTTGAATGCTTCCTTTTGATTTTTGTATAATTTATCAATAACAAATTGTTTTATCACTTCCAAAAGGTTGTAAAATTAACGACTTTTTATTAACTGTGAGTTTGCCGCTCCATAGTGAATGGCGGGATGTCATACGTTTTAAAATTGTGTAAAATTTAAAAATTCTAAGAAAACATAAAAAATGGTGTTAATAAAATCTTCGTGGTGTACATTTAAGAAAGTCCTAGAAACACGTCAAAATATTTGTAAACCAGCTTGTAACAGTGCAGTCTTTAAACTTAAACAAAGGAATTTCCACTGTAGTGTCTGTAATAAAGAAGAAGCAAATAAAAAATCAGAAGAAACACCTTTAAAGACTCTTTTAGAAGATGCGGCTTCATTTGGTGACGTTCAAAGGAATAATGTTGAACAGCAATGGGCAACACTTCCTTATTTACAAGGTACAAAGATACGAAAGCAAGGAGAATATTTTCACAAACCAAAAGTTGATCCTAGAAATACATCAGTAATTTTGTTTCCTGGGCAAGGTAGTCAGTTTGTTGGGATGGCAAAAGACCTGTTAAAATTTCCAATGGCAAGAGATCTGTTTGAGTTAGCAAACTATATATTGAAATATGATTTGCTTAAATTGTGTTTAGAGGGCCCCAAATCTAAACTAGATGAAACTAGATACTGCCAACCTGCTGTTATGGTTACTTCTTTAGCAACGCTAGAACGTTTAAAAGAAGAAAGACCAAATGCAATTGAAAATTGTGTTGCAACTGCAGGATTTAGTCTGGGAGAAATTACAGCTCTAGTATTTGCAGGGGCATTAGGTTTTGAAAGGGGTAAGTACTTACAGATACATATTTGTTTTTTAAATTAGCATAAAGCAATAATATGCACATAATTGTTAGTGTCTTTATTTTGCATTACTTATTTCTTAAATTTCTATGTATCACATTACTGTTTGAGGATACAGGTACAATTATAAATGCATATTCTCCATCTGCCTTACTTAGATTTTCTACAATATTAGTTTTATTTTGTTTAATCAGTATTTCTAATTAGTCTTAGTTCTTCGTTTATTTTTCCTGTTGCAATGTTTCTTTCAGTTATACTACTTATTTGTCGAATAAAGTACCTGTGCTTTCTTGCATGCACCTTTTCTGTTTTGTCCATGGTTTAGTTTATGCCAAAAATTTGTACTTGTTTTTAGTTTCTTTCAGCTGATTTTGTTCATATCTCATCCTTTTTCTTTTTGTTTTATTTTGTTTCTGTATTTTCTTTTTGCATTTAAAAAGTCATTCTATCTTTTTTCTTGTTGGCTACAATTCTTTTTTCTTTGTATATTGACACTCTTCATCCCACCAATCATTTCTTTTTTCTCTTGTTCATACATTAATCTTCTGTTTAGGGAGTGCATTACCTTAAATTTTAATTTTTTCAATGTTCTTGCCTTTTCTGCCTTTATGCAATAATATATTGATCAATTAATTTTTCATAGTGGATAGAATGTTTCTTGATTTACTATCTCAAAAAGTGATTCATTTCAGCTCTTCAGTTGGTCAAAATCAGGGCAGAAGCAATGCATTTAGCAAGTGAGGCTTATAAAGGGGGCATGGCCACAGTTTTCTATACCCCTGAAAGTAATTTAGGCAAAGCTGTCATAAAAGCTAAGGAATGGGCTCTTGAACGAGGGGCTGAGAATCCAGAATGTTGTGTCGCTAACTACCTTTATCCACACTGCAAGGTCGTTTCAGGTAGTTTAGAGGTATGCAATTCAATACCTATCAACTGAAGGTTTTTTTTCTTATTTTCACTTGTTTTTTTTTATGCAGGCATTAGATTATTTAGAAAAAAACTTAATGGAATACAAACTCAAAAAAATTAAGAGATTACCAGTTAGTGGAGCTTTCCACAGTAGTTTAATGGAACCAGCCGTTGGGCCTTTTTTGAAAGCTTTAAAAAAGACTGAAGTTTCTGATCCTGTAATATCAGTGTTTTCGAATGTAGATGGAAAAAAGTACAGGGATGCTAATCATATAAGAAGACAACTTCCAAAACAGGTAGGAATATCACTACAATTTTAAGTAAATGTTTAGTTAATTATTTTGTTATCAGATTGTGAAACCTGTGAGATGGGAGCAACTTTTACACGTAATATATGAAAGAGACCAAGATGAATATTTTCCAAAGACTTTTGAGTGTGGTCCAGGTTCCTCATTGAAAGCAATTCTTAAGCAAGTAAATGGAAAGGCCTGGAATCACTGTATTACAATAAATTAATAAATTTTCATGGTGTGTAATAAGCTAATATCAGTTAGTGGTATGTACATAAATGTTAAGAATACAAGTTTTTAAACCTTATTAAGTTTCTTCTTTTGATAGAAAACATTGTAACAGAACTGATTTATGTATAAAAAGATTTATTAAACGTGTATGTTTGAACTGCGACTTTGTACAGGTGTGAAACGTGGACGGTGAGCGTGGCGAAAAAAGTTATATGCGGTTTAGATAGGGTGCAATGGGCGGATGATGAAAATACTGTGGATATAACAGGTGAGAAATGAGGAGGTACTAGAAAAAGTAGCTGGATACCTTCTGAAGAGTTAGACATGCATTAGAAACAGAAACAGGAGTAAAAGGAGCAAGTGAAGACCTACATTAAATTATTGCTCACAAATATGTAGTTAGAGATATGGGATGCGCTTGTTTTAGGGAAATGTGAAGTTTGGATTAGGATTTTTATTGAAAATAAATATCATATGGCCAAAAAAAAAACCCAAAAATAAATAACCTTGTACACATTTTGTGTACCAAAAGAACACAATAATTCTGTTTTCGGAAAAATAAGTACAATGCACTTTTATTTAAAAATACACACTGATAAATAAATATAAAACAAGTATAAAATATTTTAAAAGCAGGTTTCTAATAATTATTCTTTTAACACATTGGAACACAATCATATATACACAAACAATCTTTAAAATTAAACATAATTGCGGTACTTTTGTACATAATTTATTACAAAAATTATACAGTACGTATCAGAGCTCGCAATTAAATATAATATGCAAGTTACGTTTAATTAGAGTTCAGTTGATTCTTCAAACTCACTACTTCTTCTGTAGGTGTAATGTTCCATCTCGTCACCAATTATGTAGGGCCTATTTTTGAAAGTTCCGTAACCTTCTGAAGGACTACTGCTATTTTCGTGGTGCATATAATCGGGATTGGACAAGGGATTCTTTAAAGTCTTTTCCAGATCCATTCCATTATTAATCTTTGGTTCAAAGGCATTATTAATAATACCGTTATTTCGGCCTGGATGATTTAATGCATCAAAGCAATATGTAACTCTTAATTGGTCATCATAATCTTCAACATGACCTAGTTTTGTTTGGGGTTTACTGACAGGAGTTTCATAATCTTCAGTGCTTAGAGGTTCAATGTACTGTGAACTTGTGGTACTTAAACGGATATTGTTTTGATTAAGGTCGTTGTTATGGAAAACTGAAGGCGACCCATTGGTACGAAACAATGCTGGAGATTCTCTAGCTACCGTCATTTGACTTAAAGGGGCGAAGTTTCTTGGTGGAGTTAGTTTGTTCTTTTTAACCGAATGGGTATAATCCCTTGTGCCTCGACGTTTTAGGGTAAAATCACGAACCCCCTTTTTAGCTTTGCTATGCCACTGAACCCAGTTGTACCTCATGATGGGATCAATGGGACCCCACTTACGCAGGGGTTTCGTTGACGCTTTGATTTTCTAAATAAAAAATTAATAAAAAATAAAATAACTAGTTTTCATATTTACTTGAAATTAATAACTTACGTCGTTAAAGGTGTAATATTCGTCTTGTTTGGAAATTCGATAAATAGCAATAATACCAATAAAAATTAGAGATGCTCCTACTAAAGCCCATCCAGTAGAATAAAGCCATAATGGGTCATCATTTATAGTGCCTATAAGATTTACTGCTGCTAAAGCCCATATAAATATAATCAATAAAGCTATTGGTATAATCCACCATAAAATTATGTTTAAAACTGGAAGTTTAGATCCTAATAAAAATTCAAAGTCTAATCGAAGACGCTTTGTACCTTAAAAAAAATTAAATTATAAAGCTACATATTTACAATATGGGACCAACGATTGTGGAGGATTAAAGATTACCATAATATGATACAATGGCAGCTATTTCAAGTATTGTACAGAGGATTATAATGTTTCCTATAATATAGTGGTCTAGCAATCTCACAATTTTAAATTCTGGGACCAGTAAAATGGTACTTCCAAAAATTATTCCGGTAACGCTTGCAAGTACTAAACACCTCCACCACGACCACCCCTTTCTAGATTCTACACGGACTGCTTTAAGGATTGCAAACAGTATAGTTATCTGAAAAGTGAACATTCTATAAGTACCATTAATTTTTGAATAAAAATGACTTGAAAAAATCTCACCATGCTTATTAATCCTGAGCAAATGAGAACACTTAAAACTATGATTGACCAAAATTGAGATGCTCCATTAGAATGTTGTAGAGCAGTACTGTATACTATAGCAAGGAGATGTACTTCTGGAATGTCATTACCGGTGAGGGTTAAATTTAAATTTCCTGATATAGTATATGTTAGCACTATGGAGGAAATTCCAAAGATCAGACTCAAAAATGTCAACGACAGTGCAATCCTGTAAAAAAAAACGTTAATTTTTTTTCTGTTAGCCATTTTTAGGTAATTACACTATATTTGATATATACTTACCAGAATACATTGGCTTTGTTATAAATTATTCCCGCATTCGTAACAAATGGTCCCATTCCTACATTTGTAGAAAAGAACACCTGAATTATTCCAAAATACCACACCTATTAATAAAAAATAATACCATTTTTTATTTGAATTGATTGAAAAAAAATTAATAATAAAGAAAAAGTCTGTATTTCCCCGGAAAAAATATTTGTTTTTTAAACTAAATTAATGTGATATGGACTATTAAATGTAAAAGTAATCTATAAACATTTTCACGCTGTATTGGTAAGGGGACTGCAGTGTGTAGACTGAAGAATATTATTCGAGGATACATATTACTTTGGTACATCATTAAAAATATTGTTTTCATATTAAAAAAGTTACTGAAACAATATGCAAGGTAAAATTTACCTCCCTATCATGACTTTTCGAGTGTAAAGTTAATGTTTAAGGCTGTGTCTCCCAACATTGGATCCCTTGCCCCACAGGGGGAGGAGAATTTGATTTAGTAATGGAAAATATAGAAAACCATTTTAATAAGAACGTTTGTTTAAGTTCTTATACTTCATTAGCAGTAAAAAACCACTAGATGGCGATATACTGCC